TTCTGAGACAGTAAATGATCAGATGTGCAATCGTGTAAAACATTTCCATCTAACATATTTTTTTGAACCACTATACTTATTAGGATGACTCTTGGCTTTTCCAATAGCATCTCCATCTTCTATCTCATCCAATCAGGGTTGTGTCTATAGGCATCTTTGGAGAACAACTTTGTTATTGTTTTTCAGTCATTCAATCAGGTCCCACTCTTCATGACCCTGTGGATTGTACTATTCGTGGGGTTTTCTTGGCAAAGATGCTGGACTGGTTCGCCGTTTCCTTGTGGATTAAGGCAAACACGGGTTAAACAAAGGACTTGTCTAGGGTCACACAGCTAGTGAGTATCTGAGGCTGGATTTGAACTCAGGTCTTCCTGACTCCAGGCCCAGAGCTCAATCCACCAAGCTGCCTCAAATTTTTAAAGCTTACAGCACCCAGTTTTCCTAGGCAGTCTCCCATCCAAGTACTAACCAGGCCTGATCCTGTTTAGCTTCTAAGATTTGATGAGATTAGTCATGTTCAGATGGGTATGACTGTAGAGCAACTAAACCTTAGCATCACAGAATTTCAGGGCACCAGGTGTGATCGTGGTCACTTTATAGAGCACTTTACAGTTTATAAAGTGATCATTTTGTGAGGTCCTACCTCTGGTGTTTGCTACCTGTGTACCTCAGGTATGTCACTAACTGCCTTGTTTCCTCAAAATAAGGGAGTTGGGCCAGATGGTGTCTAAGGTCCCTTCTAACTCTGTAGTCTAGTTCAATGACCTATGATCCTAAGATGGGAGTGCAGGTATTATTATCCCCAACGTAAAAGGTGCTCAAAGTCCAAGAGGTAGAGCTGTCAGGACTCACATTCAGATCTTTCCAGGTTGCCTTTGACTATCTACAGTTGGAAGATACCATCAGTAGAGTTGCCTGTCATCCATCCAACTTAATACAGGTTTATAAAGACATGACTTACTCCCAGCACAAGCTGAGGATAGTATGAGACAACCCCCTTGTTTGCTCTCCTCTCATCCCAAGTTGAACTACTTTCTCTATCAAACTGGTTCCAGGTCTCTTGGTTCTGGCTGTAGGAAATCCTCTGCCTTCCTGGGGCTTCAGGGTAGAGCAATGATATATGTAAGTGAGTATATATACATGCTGTAAGTTAGAATATGAAAAATAAATAAAGAGAGGCATAAATAAAATAAAGAGAAAAGTGATGGCTAATAATTGGGGGAGATTGGGAGAGGCTTTATGAAGGAAGTGACATTAGAGTTAGACCTTGAAGGATGGGTAGAATGGATAGATTGAGAAGAAATGCATTCCAGGTGTAGAGAAGAGTGTGAGTAAATGAATGGAATGGAAACAATGCCTGGCAAGATTGTTGGACGGCAACTAGTCCAGTTTGGATGGAGGATAATGTTCATAAGGACAATAGTGTGATATGTTACTGAAGAATTTGTTGAGGGCCAAATTTTGCATGGCTTTGAATACCAGTATAAATAATTTTGACTTTATTTGGTAGGCGATCTGGAAAAACTTCTCTTTTGAGAAGTGACATAGTCTGAACTCTACATTTGGAAAAGGCATCTGGAAATAGTATGTAGAATAAAATAGAACAGGAGAGATTGGAACCAGGAAGACTAGTTAGAAGGCTACTATGCTCTAACCAAGTAAGGATCAATGAGGGCCTGAATGAGGATGGTGGAAGTAGGAGTAAAAAGGAGGTGAGAATTGGTAAATGATTAAATGTAAGGATGGTTGCTGATCAGTAATGACTTATGCACCAGTAGCCACTCACTTCCTTTTAAAATATGGTCACTTTCATTTTTTCCCCTGTGTGGTAGTGTTCAGTGCTTGCTTTTAGAACAAAGCATTCAGGATATATAGGCATGTGGTTTCTGAATAGCATGTGAATCCCTCTCCTTTTTCATTTCTTAATCTTAGACCTTTTAAAAATTTTTATTATGAATTTAACAGTCAACAAACATTTCAACACATAAAGAACAATAACAGTATCATGTATGAACCTATGAACCTATTAGTTTTTAAAATATATACATATTAAATTTAACAGGATAGTAATAAAATTTCCATTTGTTTGTGTCCTCTTCTGAGCTTTTTGATTTCTCCTGAGTATTAAAAATTTTTTTGATGCTCTTTTCATTTCTTTATTCCTGTTACTACCCACTAATTTCTATCTACCTCCAATAAATCCCTATCCCCTTTAACAATTAATATAGTCAAGCAAATCAAATGTGGCCAAAACTGAAAATGTATGTCTTATTCTGCACCTGTAGTTCATTACCTCTCTGCCAAGAGGCAGAGGACAGGCTTTGCCATTGTTCTTCTGGAGTCATGACTGGTCAGTGCATTGACCAGAGTCCTAAGGTCTTTCAAAGTGGTTTTCCTTCACATACTAGTAGTCCTTGTATAAATTACTGAACCATTTTTTCTAACATATTTTAATCATTCCTTTCCTCTACCTGCTGTTGCATTGAGGTATATTTTGACTTAGTTGGGATGACCATGTAGAATTCTTCAAAGACTTTCTCTCTGTTTATTCTTCATAGAATTTCTCTGTGTTGTTCTAAAATGTGTTTATTTATTTTGCCTCATTCTCTACAACAGATGTTGGCACATAAGCTGCAATTATCTTCCTGGTGGTGTTTTTGCTTAGGCTCACCATGAACCCAGCAAGACAAGATGACTGAGTGCCCTCCATGAAATGCCTCTTGTTGCCATCGGGTACACAATGAAACCAACTCTTCCAGTTCCTTAATTTGCTTTTCTGAGGAGGACCCAGGAGCCATCTTTCCACTTAGATACAGCTTTCTCATATTCTCTAACTTTGTTAATAGCAAGAATGCTAATATGAATATCGTTCAGTTCTTCTAGTAGTATTTCAACTTAGTGGTAGTCAATTGGATACAATAATTATTTCTTAAGTGCTTTCTATGAGCCAGACACTGCTGTGATAGAGAACCATTGTAGTTTATTGAAGGGGTAGGGGGAGGGTGACATGACAAGATTTATGCTTTTGAAAAAAATCACCTCGACCAGGTTAGATGTTAGAGACTTGAGGGAAGGAGACTGGTTAGAAGGCTTTTGCAGAAGTCTGGGTGGGAGGTGATGGGGGCTTGAACTAGGGTAGTGGCTTTGTGAGGCAGAAAAACATGTCTGTGTGTCTCTGTGGAGAGAGTCAGAGAGAGAGAGGGAGAGAGAGAAAGATGTTGTGAAGATAGAACGACATGATTTGCCAAAGTATTGAATATGTGGGGTGAGATAGTAAAGAGTTGAGGATGACACTGAGGTCCCCAGCCTGGGAGTATAAGCAGAATAAGAATGGCAGTTGTAGTTAATTAAATAAAAATCTCACACTTAGAGTGTGGATAGTTAAATTTAAATTTACAAATGGTCTAAGAACTGTGATATTTTTTAGCACTTTTTCACTCCTCTGCTCCTGCAGAAGAAAGTCTCACTGGGATGAGAGCCATTTAAAGTTTTTCTTCAATTGCCACGGCCAATAAATCTGCACTTAGCTTGTCTGATCCTGGGGCAGCAGGTGCAGTCTGTCAGTGAGGCAAGTACTTGATGCCTTCTCCGCTTGGTTGTACCTATCAGGGTTCACAGTCCACTGGTGTAGACTTTGAGCACCTGACATCATTGCTGTATTATGCAACGGCATTGGAGTATGACTTTAATGGAAATTATTTATTGAAAATTTAGATAAAACATAGAGGGATAATGGGGACTGGATAGTGGTGTGCTGATAAATAATTAACAATTCCCCCACACACATATACAGGTCATGTTTTCTTCAACAATCGTTATTTTGATGACTTTGTGATCTGATCAGTATAGGTACCCCTTCCAATGACAAGGCTTGCAACCCATCTGCCCTAGCCGTCTGTCTTCATGTGTTCCCATCAGTCCACCAAAAGGGAGCCATTCAATGAGTTGGGGGCCTTCCTCTAGATTTCTTGGTTTGTTGGTTTGCTTTTGGATCCCAATGGTACACAGGGACTGTCTATCATTTTTATCTTTATATGACTGGCCCACTTGTTTTTCTAGTTATAAAGCTCTCTGATGTCATTCTTTATATCACGTCCCTAATTGAAGCTGCTTAATTTTAACTTTTAGGAGACTATGACTCATAGCCATAAGATATCAACATAAATAGGATTGTAGATTTCAAGCTAAAGGGGCCTCAGAAACCTAATAATAATAATAATAATTAGCATTTATATAGTACTTTCTATGTGCCAGGAACTATGCTAAGCACTTTACAAATATTATCTCATTTGATACTCACAAGAAACTTGAGAGGTAGTTATTGTTATTATCCTCATTTTACAGTTGAAAGAACTGAGGCAAGCATAGGTTGAGTGACTCGTCCAAGCTCACACAGATAGTAATTATTTGAGACTAGATTTGATCCCAGTTCTTTCTGACTCCAGACCAGCTCTATCCACTGTACCACCAAACTGCTTCTTATCAGGGAAGTTAAGTCAACAAGCATTTATTTATTAAGCACTGACTGTATGATAGGTGCTGTCTTATTGAATGAATGGTTGAAGGTGACAGGTAATAAGTAGTCAGAGACAGAAGAGTATTGATGTTAAAGGGAGAAACTTGGGATCGTTAAAAGAACCGTCCAATTCCCCCCCTCCCCAAATACAGTCTGCTTGTCTCCTCTGTTCAATTCTAGACCCAACTCATCCATTTGTACTATCTGTTCAAGATATCTGTATCTATCTTTATCTCTATTAATGGATGAGTTCTGTGGATTCAGTGATGCTACCCCTTATAATGGTTTCCAAAAGGGAGACTGGTAACATAGTTCTTGGGATTTCCTTTGAACTTTTCTTATTAGTAAAATTAATCTTAGTGATGCCCCACTAGTACTTGCTTACATCTAGCTTCTATGATGCACTGGATGTGGACAAATATAGGAAGCAAAGTCAATTAAGTTGGTGGATATGTAATGACAAATTACCTTGTTCCCCTAACAGAAGTTGATGAATGTTCCTGGCCAGACAGGAATGGGTGTGAGCAGCGCTGCGTGAACACACTGGGCAGCTACAAGTGTGCTTGTGATCCTGGTTATGAACTGACGGCTGATAAGAAGACTTGTGAAGGTCAGTGGCTGGAAAAACTGTAATAGGAAAATGTTGAGGGTGAAGGATGAATGACGAGGAGCAGAGGTATGGAGATGGAGATGTTTAATAGAGGTGTTCATTCTTCAATGGGAAGTTTTTTTAAAAAAAATCTTTAACATTTAAGAAAATTTTCCAAATTCTCTCTCTCCCCTGCACCCATTGAGAATGTAATCAATATATCAATTTTGTGAAATCATGTAAAACATGTCCACGTTAACCATGTTGCAAAAGATAAAAAAGCTAGAAAAATAAAGTGGAAAAAATTATGCCTAAATTTGTGCTCAGAGCTCATCAGATCTCTCTATGGAGGTGGATAGCATTTTTCATCATGAGTCCTTTGGAATTGTCTTGAATCATTTTATTGATCAGAGTAGTTAAGTCTTTAATAATTGATTATTGTCACAATATTGTTCATGTACAATGATCTCCTGGTTCTGTTCACTTCATTGTGCATCAGTTCATATCGATCTTCCCAGGTTTTTCTAAAACCATCCTCCTTGTTATTTCTTATAGCACAATAGTATTCCATCACAATCATATCCTGAAACTTGTTCAGCCATTCCCCAATTGATGAGCATCCCTGCAATTTTCAATTCTTTGGCACCACAAAAAGAGCTGCTATAAATATTTTTGTATGTATATACCTATATGTATGTATGTATACATACATACATATATATATATATATATATTATGTCCTTTTCCTTATTCTTTGATCTCCTTGGAATATTGACGTAGTAGTGGTGTTGCTGAGTCAAAGGGTATGCATGGTTTTATAAGCCTTAACTCAATTCCCATAGACCTAGCATGTCCTGTTCTCTTTGCCGAGAGCATGATGCCAGAATACTGTGTTCTTGTGGCTCTAGATATTATTAAATGACTTTCTCTATTCCAGAATTTTATCTACTTTTCTATAACTCCTCCCCTCCCCCACCCAATTTTGGCATTACTCACAGGACTTCTGTAGATACTCTTCTAATCCCAAGTTTTAGGTCCACACTTAGCCCTCTGATTGAATGATGGGTTTGTTGGTGCTCCAACCATATTACTACATGATACTTCTTTTTCCCTTCCTCCCCACCTATAAGCAAACAAAGAAATACAAAGGGGCCAATAGGACAACATTCCCAACATCTCAAAAACACAGATGTGCATAGAGTTTTGGCCAGATACACACTTGGCCTATGTTTTATGCAAACTTATGCTCAAAAATAAAAATTCCACCGGGTTAACCCCAAACTTCCCAGATGATAATCCTTTCTGTCTAGATTGTCATGTTGAAGAAGGAATAATCTTTTTCTTTGTCACCCCAGAAGGCAGGACTAGTCTGTCTAGGTAGAAGTTCCAAGGATCTGTATCTTCCCTCAATGGCATGACAAAGTTCCTAATGGTTAGAACCATCCAACGATGGAAAAATCCCTCCCAATTACCTTCTACCCTAGTGGGATAATAATAACAATAGCTGACATTTATACAGTAATTCAGTGTTTGTCAAACATTTTATATACATCAGTGTTCTATAGTAGAAAGGACACTAACTATGGAATCAGAGCACCTGGGTTCAAATCCCATCTCTGCTAGGTACTACCTATGTGATCTTAGGCACTTAAATTTCTCTGGGTCTTGGCTTCCTCACCTCTATTGGAGGGTCTCTGAGGTCCCTTCCAACTCGAGCCCAAAGGTCCTATGTCCTTATTTGGTCTTCAGTAAGGCAGACGCTCTTATTATCCCTCTCTTACAGATGAGGCAACCTAGGTTTAGAAGATTTACTTGACTTGCCCCACATCACACAGCTAGGAAGTGTATGAGATGGGATTCCAACTCAGACCTTCCTGGTTGCAAGTGTGGCTCTCTACCCACTATGCCATGTGGCTATAATCCATGGCTTGGGAGCCATGGGCTCTCTTCAGGGATTTCAAAAAATGGCAAATAAATTTTTTAAATGTAAACATCCAAAAAGGAGTCAGGGGAGGGGTTAGATGAACCAGATTTAGATGACTCAACATTTCTTTTCCCTGAAGAACATGTGAAATGCCAGCAGTCATTTAGAACTTACAACTCAATGACATATGTATTTGCTTTTTACCTCTGCAGTGGCCTGTGGCGGCTTCATGACCAAGCTTAATGGGACCATTACCAGCCCTGGATGGCCCAAAGAATACCCCACAAACAAAAACTGCGTGTGGCAAGTGGTGGCTCCGAGCCAGTACAGGATCTCCCTCCAGTTTGAAGTTTTTGAGCTGGAAGGCAATGATGTAAGTTCCTTCACTTTGAGTTGCTGATGAATTATCCAGAGAAGACCCAGAGCCAAAGCAGTCCCTAAGATAGTTACAGGCAGGGAGTGATTCTTCCTTGGGATCCAGCAGAGAGGCCCTGTTGAGTTTTTTTGACATTGGGATCTGGGTTTCTTTGCATTGTCTCAGTGTGACTCTTGTCATCCACATCCTCCCTTGCCATGAATTCTCTTGACTGGTTTTTAGTGCACCACTAGTTCAGGAAAACTCTTAAGTAAATGGTGCTAAGTAGTGCTAAGTAGAAAATCAGCCGAAGAATATAGGAGACAAGACATTGCCCAAAGGAGAGAACAAGTACACTGGGGCCCAACATTGCATGGGATAGATGTTCTCTGAAAGAAGGAGACATCTATCTCCAACATTGTGGACTCTGGCATCCAGTTGTGAGAAGGAATGGAGAGAATGAGGTTTACCTTAGCTGGGATAATATCTTGTACATTGTAACCTCTTCTGGTCATAGATTTTGAATCAGAAGGGACCCCAGGGGCCATCTAATCCTACCCAGAAAAGTTAAGTGATTTGTCTATAGTCACAGAAACAGAGAGTAACAGATCTGAGATTCAAACTCAGGTCTCCTCTGGTACTCCAAATCCATCTTTCTTCTGCTTTTTTTTCCTAGTTGAATTGTGATCAAATAAGAAGGACACAAGACTTCAACATCTTAAGACATAGGCCAGAGTAAAAGGTGGGGTTAGATGCCTGTCCTGTAGCCAGAGGGCTGAGCATGATGAGTAGGCATTGACCAGACTTCCATGTCCAAGATGACTTCAGGACTCCCTACAGAACTGAACATGAAGTCAGACTTGTGTTCAGATTTCTGCTCTGCCACTAAGAGGATCAGAGATTTGAAACTTGAGGGCACCTTAAGGGTCATCTAGTCTACCACTCACCCTCTTAATTTACAAATGAAGAAACTGAGACCCAACAAGGTTAAACTTGCCCAAGGTCACACAGATGTCAAATGGCAGAACTGGAATTTAAACCCAGGTTCTCTGATTCCCAAATCCAATGCTCTTTCCATTGTACACAATTCCATTTCTTTTTTCTTTTTGATTTTTTTATAAATTTATTTATTTATTTTTCATTTTTAGCATTCACTTCCGTAAGATTTTGAGTTCCAAGTTTTCTCCCCATCTCTCCTCTTCCCCCACCCCGAGAGAGCGTGCAATTTGATATAGGCTCTACATAAACATTCATATTGAACCTATTTTCACATTAGTCTTGTTGTAAAGAAGAATTAGAACCAATGGGAGAAACCACAAATAAGAAACAAACAAAAAAGAAAAAAGAAAAAAGAGAAAGAGCAAATAACATGCTTTGATCTGCATTCAGACTCCATAGTTCTTCTGGATGTGGACAGCATTTTCCATCATGAGTCCTTTGGAGTTGTCTTGGATCCTTGCATACAATTCCATTTCTAAGGTTTCTTCTGTCTCTAAATCTTATGGTCCTGCTTCTGCCCATGAGTGTCAAATGAAGAAGCTGAAGTAATTGGTCATTAAGATCTCTTCTAGCTATGAATTCTCTGGTCTCTTGGCAGTGAGGAGCCATCTAACTAAGAAAGCCATCTAACATTAACTACTGAGGCACGCCTCTCATCAGACATGTGACTCCTTCATAGTGCCTTGCACATAGCAGTGTGATAGGAGAATTTCTGGTTTAACTTTCTTAGTACCATTTACTTAAGATAAGCCTGTCACATAGTTAGCTAGAGTCTGCAAAATCAAACCTGAGGTATCAGCTCCAGGTCCAGTGTTAACTGTCTAGTTTCCTGTTTTATCTGATAAAGATCTTCCTCTTCCACCACCTGTTCTTTGGTCTGTGACTCATTATTGTTCTTTGTTCTTCGTAATTCCGTTGTACTCATCCTTTGTGTGTAACCAAAACCTATATAAGATTGATGAAATTGAGCTCTGGACTCACTGACTTTTTGTTCAGTGATCTGGCATTCTGCAGTAATGTACTTCAGTCTTCCTGTAGCTCTTTGTCATTGATTGTATGATTGGCAACACTACCTAATCAACAGATCCTTGGCCACTTTTTGGCACTTAATGTCTATTGCAATGAACTGGAATCCATGGACAAATATATGGGCCTGCCCAATAAAATGATGATAAAAATGATGACAAACTCTTCTGGCAAAGAGATCAGAGATCTCTCCATCACTTGCATTTTAGTTAGTGAGTGAATTCTTGTCAGAACACATATCATTCATTACTGTGATGCCTGAGGCTGTTAGAGCCCAGTCAAGCAGCAGGGTTTGGATCTTTTAAGCAGAATATGGCTGTAATTTGGCTTCTGGAAACCTTGTCTGAAGACTTCCTTGAGCTTTCATTATGAGTTGGAGGGACTCCAGGGTTCTCAGAGGCAATGCCAGGGTTCTTGTAGGGTCCTATCCAATTTGCAGTTTAAGAATCTGCCTAGCTAATTTCAGAGAAGCTGGGCCCTAAGGAATAATACAGGGTTTTTGTTTGCTTCTTTTTGCTGTGGCTACTCATGATGAAGGTCTACTAAGGTGTGGAAGGGCTGCAGTTTGTGTTGGTGGAGGGAATATCCACACTGACAAAGTTCTAGGTATTAGCTTTGAGGAAAGGAACAGCAGGAGGGAGTAAGTGAGAGCAGTCAGAAGTATCGCCCTCCTCTCTTGCAGGTTTGTAAATATGATTATGTGGAGATCCGAAGTGGGTTATCCTCTGACTCCAAGCTTCATGGAAAGTTTTGTGGCTCCGAGAAACCAGAGGTGATTACCTCCCAAAGCAACAACATGAGAGTGGAGTTCAAATCAGACAACACTGTTTCTAAACGTGGCTTCGAAGCCCACTTCTTCTCAGGTATGTGGATGTTTCAGATATAGGGATTCAACTCCTACGAATACAGGAAGTTTTAGATAAGAAGGGCTTGGGGAGGGAATTCCAGGTAGGGAAACTTTACGAGCAAAGACACGGAGGTGGGAATGAGCATGTTATACTGGTAGGACAGTAAGAGAGCTGTCCTCCTATGTTGAGTAGTAGAAAATGAGGTGTGATAGGTGGGGTGAGGCTAGACTGCCAAATTCAAGCAACCTATCAATCCAGAAGCAATTGTAAGTTCTTACTACGTGCCTAGCACTATACTAAGTGCTGGAGATAAAAAGAAGCAATGAAAACAGTCCCTATTCTCAGGGAGTTGACATTTTAATAGGGAAAACAACATGCTTTATAGACTCATAGAATCATAGATTTAGAGTTGCGTAGGATGGAGGGGGATGGGTTTATGTAACAGACAATCAAAAGCAATGATAGGTTCTTGGGTAGGGGAATGGTATGGTGGAAGTAGTATTTTAGGAAAACTAGTCTAGTGGAGGTGTTGGAGGAGAGGAGGTGGGAGAATCTGGTATTGAGGAAACTAACAGGAAGCCTGTTAGAGCAACTCAAGAATAAGGTGATGAGGGCCTTAGCTAGAGTGGAAGCAGTGGGAATGAAGAAGGAGGTGAGATTTTAATGCAAAGGAATTTGGAGGCACATTTGGAATTAAGGTCCTGAAGGAATTAGGGCTCAGGATATAAATCAGTCATGATCATAAATGCAATAGTTGAAGCTTTGAGGGAAGAGGAACTCATGTGGTGGGAGGGAGAGAGAAAGGAGGTGGAGGTGGCAGCGGCAGCCTGAGTACATTGAGTTTTGGGGCATTCTGTTTTTTCTTCTCAGCCATCATACCTATTTATTAGGTATTCTTAGTTACATGCATAAAATAAGAGGCTCTAAAACTTAATTATACAACGGTTTATGACACATTGGCTACATTGGAAAAACACAACTGGGTAGAAGGAGAGAAAGTATTGGCACTTGAATGGGCTTTCTAGTTTCTGAAGGTGAAGGATGAGATAGATCTGGCAGGCAGTTGGCCAATTGGTGAACAATCCTAAGCAGAGATTCAAGAGTAGTAAGGGATACAACCCCATAGCTACAGATTATCATCAGATTAGTAACCTATTGAAAAGCTTCAAAAATTCTTTGAATGGGTGTGGGGGAGATGGTGGTCCATGAGTGTAGGTGTGGAAGCTTACATACATCTATCAGGTTTTTTTTTGTCAATATATTGATTAGTTTTGCTAATTTTTTTCTGTTCCTCTTTTTATTCTTTTAAAAAAAATCTTTGTTGTGTGGGATGGCATTTTTGGAAAGAGAAGGGAAAGGATCCAGGGGGAAATTCAGGCTGCATAAAAAATAAGAGATATCAATAAAAATCTATCTTAAAAAGAAATTCTTAAAACCTTACACAAACAAGTACAAATAAACGTGATGCAAATACATGTTGAGTATACATTGAGCAAAGAAGGAGCTAAAGTAATAAATAGGGCCTGTTGAGAGTAACCAGGATAGACTTTCTGGAGGATATCAGTTTTGAATAGAGTTTTAAAAAGTTGGGGATGGTTCATAAATGGGCAGTTCAGTCTCATTCTTCTCTTGGAAATGCTCACTTTCCTCTCCAGACAAGGATGAATGCTCTAAGGACAATGGTGGGTGTCAACATGAATGCATCAACACATTTGGAAGCTATGTTTGCCAGTGTAAAAATGGATTTGTGCTACATGAGAATGGCCATGACTGCAAAGAAGGCGAGTTCTCTTACCATTTCTATTTTTTTTGCATTTTTGTTGATTTTTTTTCAATTAACAAACATTTGTTCTCTCCCTCCTATATATGTGTATATATATATATATATATAATTAAGATCATATGTATATATAATTGATATGATATATATATATATATATAAATGAAGATCACCATCTACCTAAATTAAATGCCACATGGAGATAGGAAAGGGCATCTAGAACTGCCATAGCTACTATAGATTCTGAAGGTTCTCCATGGAACAGATCTAAAAAGGGGAGAACAAGGAGAAATGAAATATTTACCAGAAAGTCCTCTTCCAGGATTAGGGTCAATGGAGGACCCAGAAAGAAGAAACAGAAAAGGATTCAGAGTCATTATAACTGTTCCATCCATCACTATAGTCATTGCCAATGAGTGCCATTTAGGTTCCAATTAACAGAGACAAATCAAAGGAAGGGGATAGTCAAATGAGTATGCCCATCACATCTTCTTTTCCAAATGCAGACTACTACTAAAGCTATGAGCAGGCCTTATCCACCAAGGTTGGAATGCCAGCTTTGAGACTTAAGAGTTGGAGTCCAATCGTAATGTAGAGAGATGAAGCACTGGATCAAACATACAGATTCTTCATTGACTGTCCACCATTCATTCCCATACGTGGTTGGTAAGGTGTATGCACCATAAAATCTGCCTAAGTCACACTCTCTGCTCAAACTCAAGGCTTAATGCTTATAATTGCTTAGTTATTACTGGCTTTTATAAATTGCGCTGAGGTGACTAATAATAATAATAATGATAATAATACTAGTAACTGACATTTACCTGGCACTCTAAGGCCTGCAAAGTACTTAATAGATATAATCTGCTGCAGCTTCACTCCCCTACCCCATTAGGATCAGGCATGAGAATGTAGACAAGATGGTATTCCTGTCACTGCCATGTTCATTGCATGAGGGGACGAAAGTCTTCAAGTCCCCTCTTAAACCAAAGATCATCTTCCTCTTGAGATATTCTTTAAAAAGAAAAAAAAAAACAGAAACATTAAGGGCAACAGAGCTCATCACCATAAGGAAATTTTGTGCTATAAAAGATCCAAAGAGCAGCATTAGTACAGAATTGTTAGGGGAGTCTGCAACATGCATGATGGAAGATGTATCAAAAGATTTTTAAAAATTGGATAATAAATACATTAAAGCATTTAAGGAAAGGTTCTAATTCTTAAAAAAAAGTAACAAAGGAAGACTAAAAGGAGCAATTTACAAAAATGCAAAACAGAATGAAAAGCTTCGATGAAAGAAGTGGAGGTCAGAGGAAGAGTAATTGAATAAATATTGGTCAGTAATAATAGGTGGCATTCATATAATTCTTTAAAGTTTTCAAAGTGCTTTATATATATTATCTTATTTCATCCTCATAACAATCCTGTGAGGTAAGGACTATAGGTATTATTACATCCATTTTACAGGTGAGGTACAGAGAGGTTAAATGATTTGTTTATACTTACACAGCCAGAAAATGTCAGAGACTGTATTAGAAATCAAGTTTCTCCTGATTTTAAGTTAATACTCTCTCAACTATGCCATGGTGCCTTTTCAAAACACAATAAAAGAACAAGCCCATAATATCATAGAATTTAAAAAAATAATTGATGACAATATAGAATAAAATTATAGACCTAAAACTAGATAGAGGAATTCAAGCATCAGATTAATTGGGATTCCAGAGAGAACAAGAAAAAACACTTCATGTTGGAAGAAATAATCAAGGGAAAATTTTTGGAGAATGCACAAGAAGAGATATCAATCCATGAGTGGAAAAAATTTATATGACCTCACCATAGAAAAATCCAAAACCCAAGCCTCTAAGAGACATAATTATTAAATTTCAAAATGATAAAGACAAAGAAGTAGTTCTTTAAAAGGCCAAGAAAGAAAAAAAAGAGCTCATATATGATAAAGTACAAATTAGAATGTCCTCAGATTTTTAAATATATATATTATTAAATATTTACCAATCACATTAACATTTTTAACATTATTTTTAAAAAAAATTTTGAGTTCCAAATTCTCTCCCTCCCTCCCACCCCTACTACATCCCATGTTCCCATATTTTTAAGCAATCACACAAGGAAGAATGTATTTAGTTTTTTTTTAAAGGACACATATATATAAAAAGATCAGATTAGATGGAACCAAGAATTACTAATCACATACATTTAAATATTTTATTTGAAACAGAACACTTAAATATTAAATATACCTCAAAGAAATATTGAGAAAAGCATTCAATGACAAAATAAAACTTAGAGAAGTTGAACAAAGCTTCATATTATCAAGTCTAAAAGTTATCAAAGATAATAGTAGGATTATATAAACCTATCATTACCTCCAGTTAATAATATAAAGCTATGTAATCTTTTGTAAATTAAATGGAAACAAGAATTTGAGATAAAATGTGTATTATTATTAATCAAAAATAAAATTTTAAATATCCTTAAAGTTATAAATTAGAAGACATTTAAAGTAGAAAAAAAGCAAAAGAAAAGAAAAGAAAAAGAGAGAAATAGATGATTCCCAAAGGACAACTCCTAACTTCAACTAAAAGTCAGTCAAGTTTCAAGGAATCACACATAGCTAATAGCTTAAAATTAAAATATTAATTAATTCAAAATTATTAATAATTTAAAGCATTAATTAATTTAAAAGTAGAAATAATTATGGAAAAATAAGACAGATTTACAACCTAGATTATGGAAAAATGAGACAGATTTACAACCTAGATATTAAGAACAAAACTCAAAAAAAATATTGGAAGATCAGTTCAACTTGGTAAACATTTATTAAGTGCTTATTATATGCAAGACATTGTTCCAATGATACTTTTTTATTTCACATTGTTCCAGGGATACAAACAAAACAAATGACACTTTTTTATTTCAGAGAAATTATACTCTTACATTCTAAGTAGAATTTAATACAGTCATTAAATATAAAGTACCTGAATTCACCTATTAAAAGGAAAAGAATTGCAACTTGAATTAAAAACAAAATCTATCAATATGTTGTTTACAAGAAACACATTTAGTGCAAAAAGATATAGCTTAGAATTAAAAGATTTGTGTAAAAGACTTCATGAAATTTCTCATTCAGAAAAAGTAGGACTGGTAGTATTGATATCAGAAAAAGTTTAATTTAAACAAGAAAGATCAAGACAAAGGTTAAGTGTGTCATATAATGTTAAGATTAACTTTAAATAAAGAGTATATAAGTACATTTAATTTACACACACCCAAGGTTTTGGTAGCTAAATAAAAATTAATAATGCTATAAGAGGGAAAAGAAAAAATAATAAGAGACTACAATGTTATTAAGATATGATAAATATAACAAAACAATATAAAATAAATAATAGTTGTGGAGTGTTTGATAAGCTGGAATTAATTTATCTATGGAGAGAAATAAATGAATGAAGTGGCAAATACACCTTTTTTCTTTCAAGTGCACACGAACCCTCTTAAAAACTTATCACATACATGGATATAAAAAAGCTCTGAAAAATTCTTACATGTGGGTTAGTCATATTACTGACTTTCATTCCTGAGAAGAATGATCTTAGAGAGCACTTCAATTCAACAAACATTTATTATCAATTATTTGGAAAGTGAGAGTTAGTATTGTATAATAAATAGAAAGCCAGCCTGAGAATCAGGAAAACCTGGAGTTGAGTCCCACCGCTGACTCCTACAAGCTATGTGACCCTACACAAGTGACTGAAACTCTCAGTGCCCCTCAAGATACTCTATTATAACTTACAGAATAATTGTGAATCTGCATTGGCAGAAGGAATTAACTCATTGGACTTCCAGCCCCCCACCTCAATGAAATCACAAGTTCAGAACAAAAATAAAATTTTAATCTCACTAATACAAATTCAATCATCTTTCAGATACCACTTCACATACAACACATTATGAAACAGAATATGATAAATATGTAGGAGAGGCAAACACAAAGTACTCTGAGAAATCCCAGGAGGAAGAAATTAAAAAGAGGATGAATCTTGCAGGAAATCATCTTCATATCAGTTGGTGCTTTCCTTGAACTGATTATGTCTCTTTTTTTTCTAGCTGGCTGTGAGCACAGGATCAACAGTGCCGAAGGAACAATGTCAAGTCCAAACTGGCCTGATAAATATCCCAGCCGAAAAGAGTGTACCTGGAATATTTCCTCCACTCCTGGTCATCGGGTAAAAATTGTGAGTTGCTTCTATTGATTGGAAAATACCAACCAGAGAAATCTACTATTTTATTTGAAGTGAAATTTTTATGTCAAGCCCATGGTTTAAGTCCTGTGAGTAGCATTCTCTAAGCTACACACCAAGAAAGTGTGGTGATCGAAAGTATGAAAGCTAGGATTGAAGATAGTTCTGGAATCAAGTGCTGGCTTTGCCACATCCTTTGTGATTCTTTTCCTCTTTGCTACATCTATGCATTCTTTTGAATCATGCAGGTAAAATAAGTATCATATTGCCAACTCATCTGTGTTAATAGTTCTAAATTTAAAAAATAAACCTCTTCAGATCCTCAGGATTAGCAGAATGTCAAGGAGGAGTATGGGTGTCTCTGAGAATTTTATTTTAATAATAGTGAATGTTTATATAGCACTTATTATGTGCTAGGCACTATGCTAAGTACTTTATAAATATTATCTCATTTGATCCTCACAATAACTCTGGGAGGTAGGTGCTGTTATTATCTACATTTTACAGTTGAGAAAACTGAGGCAAGCAGGGGTTAAGTGACTTGGCCAAGGTCACACAACTGATAAGTATCTGAAGCTGGATTTGAACTCAGGTCCTCCTAACTCTAAACCCAGTGCTCTTTCCATTGTACACCAAAACTACCTCTAAATGGAGGAGAAAGAAGGAAAAAGAACAGGAACAAGAAGTGATATTGAGTAGAGGGGGGATAATCTTTACAACTATAGCATTGATATCAGTGACTTATTATCCTTGTAGGACAGGTAGATAGGGATGTAAAAAGGGATATGCAATTCTGTAGGACTGAAAGTTCCTTATCCAGAGTAGTAATAAGACTGTGTCAAGTCTGTATAGCATTTTGTAGTTTTCAAAACGTTTTCATTTGCATTATCTTATTTGATCCTACCAATAACCCTGGGAGGTAACAGAAAGGTATCCTCTCCATTTTACAGATGAGGAAACTGAGAGCCATAATGTCACAGCTTGTTGGATTCTCTTTTTTCAGGACAGGTTTCCCCAGTGTGTGCATTCCAAACAAACAGGCCTTTGTCCATCCAGGAATAGGCTCATAATAGTCACTGAATATTGTCTTAGTCTGAGGAGATATCATTGATTTTGAGGCCTTGTCTCTGCCATGGTGATGACATACTTTCTTGTACTTAGGGTGTTGTTGTTGTGTTTCTTGGGAAAACTCTTAGAGTTTAATAGGTTCTCATTTGCATGTGATTTGCCCTTCCCTCCATTTTCCACTCCACAAAATCCACTGGTATTCAAAGCCCTTCATAACCTAATCTTTTCTCCCCCATACCTCTACAGTCTTCTTTCACCTTATTCCTCACCATGTTTTCTTCCATCCAGTGATGCTGGCCTCCTGGCTGTTCCATAAACAAGACACTCCATCTCTTGGCTCTGGGTATTTTCTCTGGCCGTTCCCCATGACTGGAATTCTCTCTCTCCCCATCTTTGCCTACCAGCTTCCTTTAAGTACCAACTAAAACCCTATGTTCTATAGGAAGCCTTTCCCAATTCTTCTTAATTCTAGTGCTTTCCTTCTCTTAATTATTTCCTATTTATCCTTTATCTAGCTTGCTTTGTATATATTTATTTGTATGTTAGATTGCAAGCTCCTCTTTTTGTATCCCCAGCACTTAGCACAGTGCCTGGCACATAGTAAGTACATAATAAACGCTATTTGACTGCCATAGGAATCTAACAGCTTGAAGAATGCTTAATAACCTTGTCCATAATATCAGTGAGAATAGCTTTTATAGACTCGGAGTCTGGAGACCTTAGTTCAAATCCCACTGCAACACTTACTAGCTGTTGGGATCATGGGTAAGTCATTGAACCACTCAGAGATTTCCTTCAGTGTAAAGTGGGAATAATAACACTTAACACTGCCTACCTTGTTATGAAGCAAGCATTTGGCAAACTTTAAAGCACCATATAATAATAATGATGATGAATAAACATATATAATGAAATAATGAAAAATAAGTGAATAAACATGACTACAAAGTGTGTTCCTCACAATAACCCTCTGAGGTAAGTGGTACAAATGTTACTGTTCTCATTTTTTAAAATTAGATGAAGAAACTGAGGCTCAGGGAGCACCAAGTTTTTCAAGGACTGTTAAATGTCAGCTGTAGGATCTGAACCCTGGTTACTCCTGACTCCAAGTCTAAGACCCTATGCCATATTGGATTTTGGGGCAGATGGACCAGAAGGAAGGCAGAAGACTTGCACTGTCTTTCCCAGGTTCTCTTTAGAAAGTTTAATAGAAGTGGATATGTGCTAGCTAAATATAATCAGCCTTCATGTACTGTTGTTCCCTTTGGGCAGGGGCCCTTGATGGAGGGAGATTGATGTTGGTAGATCAACATGATGTAGGTGGCGCCATCAGGGATAGTCATGACTTGGTGGTGAGGGGCCAGAAGGAAGTGCGATGTTGTATGAGGCTGAAGGAGTAGCAGGAAGCATGTCCTAGGTTTGGAGTTACCTAATGGCATTTTAGGAGTCCTCAGATCCAAGGGCTAGAGGACATAAAGTCAGCAAGAGTTCAAGGAATCAGGCATTATTATTATTATTATTATTATTATCATTGATGATGATAATGATATTTGATTCTTATAGCACTTTAAAGTTTGCAAAGCACCTAACATACATAATTGCTTCATTTGATCCTTGCAACAATCTGGTGGTGTAGGTGCTATTATTATTCCATTTTGTAGAGGAGGAAAATGAAGTTGGGAGAGGCTGTGACTTGCCCATGGTCATACAGTTAGTAAGAATCAAAAGTGGAATTCAAGCCCAAGTCTTAGATCCTTTCCACCATATGGACTTGGAGTTATAGATGGATTTAGAGCCATAGATACTGGCATTTCTCAGTTTCACTTGATGAGTATAGTCTATCTGCTAGCCAGGGATATTTGGAGGGCTACTGACGGAACCTAACCTCACGCCACCTTGATCTTCTCCATAAACTTCTACTATGTACAGTTCCCTGTTGATGCTAAACAGGGAGAGAGCCAAGCTGCTACTCAGAGGCCTTAGCATGTAGTCACTAGTTTGCTAAAACCTATAATAATCTGAATTAAAATGATCTGCAGGAGGATAGAATTTAAGAAATCTCCTTGTGTCTTTTTTTAGCTAGTCTCCTGTGAATGGATCTCACCCTCAGATTATGCTGAAGTCCACAAACATGAGGGGATTAATGGGATTCTTCTTCAGTTATAATTGGACTAGGTAGCTACTCAAGCCCCTTCCAGTGCTGAAATACTGTGATTCTGTGACTTTACAGATGTTTTTCCATTACTGAAATTCATTAATGATGGTCCCCACTGTTTTGTCTCTACTAGGTATGTGTGGAAACTGGTTCTGTCTCCTGCTAACCGAGATCAGAGGTCCTGGATAACCACCTCCCTGTTTCCTTCTCTACCTCCTCTTCTTCCCCGTTTCTCTGTTTGACATTCCTCGAATGCCCGCTCTGACCTGCTCCTTTCCCCATCCTCTAGCCTTGTTGATTCTCCTAGCGACACTGATCAGTCTCCTACTACTTCTTGGTCTGAATGCTTCCTCTATCATCTTTCTATTCCTTTATCAGTGGCTCCTCCTTTCTTTTCCTCCCTTGCTCTACCCTAATTCCCAGTTTTCTCCCTATGCCTCTTCAATCTAATATACTCTTTATCATCTCCCATCCTCATCATGGCCCGTCTCCTGTGGGTCCCACAGATAGGGTTTGTTAGGATATCTTGGAGGACAATCTCTAGCAATTTGCCTGGTGTCTGTTATGTAACCTGATTTTTTTATGATTCTTGAGGAGGGCAGTAGGGGAAAAGAGTGACTCATCTATCTTGTTAAATTTGTCTAGTAGCCTATAGCAGGAGGGATTTTCTTTTTCTGTTTCTGGGAGGTAATCCATCACTCTGGGATATAGGCTTTGGGGGACTATCCATTGAAAGAGAACAGTAGCGTTGTATTGTGGTATAATCTCCTTGGAGACAGGGATTGGTCATTTATATCTTTCTATTCCCAGTGCCTAGCATGGTACCTGATATACTGTAACTGTTTAATAAATGGCTATTGATTCCTCTCTTGCTTGTTTCTTTACCACTCTGTCTAAACTGAATGACCTATGGGGGTGAGCTACTTACCCAAAATAAGTTGGGCTTTTTCCCACGATGTTAGGCCAAGAGCCCAGGGCTGGGAGGCCATTGCTTCTCCCTCCCACTCTCCAGACACTACAAAAGTGAAGTAAACAAGTGGTGGTCACATGTTGGACCTCTGGGCTCAAGCTTTTGGAGGTGACCTTACCTTTCCCTGGCTTCTTCTTTTCTGTCTCATAGACTTTCAATGAATTTGAGATTGAGCAGCACCAGGAATGTGCTTATGATCACCTGGAGCTGTATGATGGACCCAACAGCAAGTCCCCGATCCTCGGCCGTTTCTGTGGCAGCAAGAAACCGGAGCCTGTGGTGGCTTCTACAAACAGGATGTTTCTCAGATTCTATTCTGATGCTTCAGTGCAGAGGAAAGGTTTCCAAGCAAGTCATAGCACAGGTACACTGGGTTATCAGCTGTCTTTATGGGACAGACAACATTAAACTTCCTGATTATGCCACCACTCTCTCAGCCTTCTTCTACTCCAACCACCTCCTCAGCTCAATTTCAGCCTCACAGTCCCACCATCCCCCTGAGTGGTCCATCCACAAATCCTAGAAAATAATCATTTGAACACTTCTGTTCTTGTCTTGGATTCAGGAAGCCTTAGGTTTAAATCCAAACTCAGACACTTAATAACTATTACTTATTGTTTCTTTACAACTCTGTCTAAATTGAATGACCTATCTTGGTCACGCCTGGTCATCAAGAATGACCCTTAGTGAATACCTTAATCTCTCTGGGTCTCAGTTTCCTCAGCTATAAAATGAGAAGTTTACACAGCAGATAGGGTATTGGAGTTTGAATGTTGCCTCAGAAACTTACTAACTTATTAGCTCCCTGACCTTGGGCTAATCAGTTAACATCTCTGTGCCTCAGACTCCTCATCTGTTAAACAAGGGGGCTAAACTTAATGGCTTCCAAGATTCCTTCCAACTTTAGTCTATGATCCCATGCCTTTATTCAGTTTTAGAATTTAATTTAATTCTTTTCAATGAACAAAAATCTATTTTCTCTCCCTCCCAACCCTCTTACCCCATTAAAAAATAAATTTTTTAAAAACCTTGTAACAAATATTTATAGTCAAGCAAAACTAATTCCTACATTGTCTTTGTCACAAAATAGATGTCTCAATTTGCCCCTTGAGCTCAACATCTCTCCATTGGGTGGTGGGTAGCATGCTTTAATTGTCAGTCCTCCGGAATCATGGTCACTCATTGCATTGACCAGAGTCTTAAAATCTTTCAAGATTGTTTATCTTTACAATGTTGTTATTATTATATAAATTGTTTGCCTGGTTCTGCTCACTTCAATCTGCATGTTTCTACAAATCTACCCAGGTTTCATATAATTTTCCCATTCCTCATTTCTTAACAGCATGATAATATCCCATTTAATTTACATGCCATAATTTGTTTACCCATCACCTAATTGATGGGTACCCTTTTAAGTTCCATTTCTTCTCTTTCACAGTTAGAGCTGCTGTGAATATTTTTGTGTATGGGTCCTTCTCTTCTTTCTTTGATCTCTTTGAGGCAGATCCCATTCCTTCATTGATCTACCTTTACTGTTGGCTATAACTCAGGAGAGGGTCTAAGGCTAAACAGGGACGAGAATCATAATGAATCATAATGGGTTGTATCTTTACTCCAGAGTGTGGTGGCCAGCTGAAGGCAGAAGTCCAGACCAAGGATCTCTATTCCCATGCCCAGTTTGGTGACAACAATTATTCTGGGCAGTCTCATTGTGACTGGGTGATTGCAGCAGAGGATGGCTATGGTGTGGAAATAATATTCCAGACATTTGAAGTCGAAGAGGAAGCAGACTGTGGGTATGACTACATGGAGGCCTTTGATGGCTACGACAGTACAGCACCCCGACTGGGCAGGTTCTGCGGCTCTGGGGTAAGTCTCAGACATGAAAGTTCTGAGCCAGAGCATCCCCTGGCCAGTGGCAGGGTAACAGCATTGGAGAAGAATTTGGATTGGCATTTTGGGAGGCAGATGGATTTAGTGCAGATTGATGGCAATTTAATTCAATTATCTTAGGCAAATAGAAGACTATCGGAAGTAAAATTCACTTGAAACTAGAGCCATGAGATGGAAACTAGTACAAGAATTTAGACAGTGTCAGGTTTTGAGTATCAAGACTGGATGTTGACCATGTGCATTGGTCTCAGTAAATATTCTTTAAATTTTTCTCATTCTGTAGTACATGAAGTAAAGAATATTATTATTGTTCTTGGTGTGGCTCTATTCCTAGGGAGAGCATGGGTTTTTTGTTTTGTTTTGTTTTGTTTTATTTTGCTTTTTTTTTTTTTTTAGGTAAAGTGGGCCATTTATTTTATCGCCTTTAAGACCAAGTTTATTTACCTCTGCCTTTGGCCATACTCCTTAACATAAACAGACTTTGTTCAGACATAAGTAAAAAACATTTATTACAAGAGTATAAACAACTGATTAACGCAGACAATTCTATTCAAGAGAGAAACAGGAAATAAAAGGACAGTGACTCTTGGGTTCTCCAGGCCAAGATGTGGGTGATAGCACTTCCTATTGTACTACTGAGGTAGAGGAATAGTGTGTCTAAAGCCTGAATTCCTGGGGGAAGAGAAAATAGTTGGGTTAGACTTCTGGGCAACACAGTTGAGGAATGACATGGATAAGTTGGAGAGCATTCAGAAGAAAGCTTGGAGGATGGTGAGGGGCCTTGAGTCCATGACATATGAAGACTGATTTATTTGTAGGAACTTTTTTTGTTTATCATAAAGAAGAGCAGACTGGGGAGGGGGGAGGGATGAGGATGGGAAATACGGTAGGTCTCTCAAAGTGTTTGAAGAGTTATTGTGTAGAAGACGAATGAGCCTTATAGTTTGACATAGGAATATGAAAAGGAAATGATCTAAATGAGCAATAATTAGAGAAATGCAAATAAAAACAAGTCTGAGGTTCCACCACACACCCAATAGTGTTGGCAAAGACATAAAAAAAAGTAATGGCAATTGTAAGGACTGCAGGAACACAGACCTAGAATGATACTGTTGGAGCTGTGAATTTGGAGAGCAGTTTGCAACTGTTTGAACCAAGAGTCCAGAAGCAGGAGCGCTCCAGAAATTTCAAGGAGGAAAATTTATACTTTTTAACGATTACAGTTGTCCAAAAGTAGAGGCATTGGAGTTTAAATGTTGTCTCAGAAACTTACTAGCTTACTAGCTTCCTGACCTTGGGTGAGTCATTTAACATCTCTGTGCCTCAGACTTCTCATCTGTTAAACAAAGGGGCTAAACTTCATGACTCCCGAAATCCTTCCAACTTTAGTCTATGATCCTATGCCTTTATTTATTTTTAGAATTTAATTTAATTTTTCAAATGAACAAAAATCTATTTTCTCTCCCTCCCAACTCTCTTACCCCATTAAAAATATATATTAAAAAAAAAACCCTTGTGACAAATATTTGTAGTCAAGCAAAACTGATTCCCTCATTGGCCATGTCACAAAATGTATATTTCAATTTGCACCTCCACTAGAGAAGTCTTCCAGCACAGACTGGACAATCACTTGTATGGATCCTTTTGGGGGGGGGGGTATAGGCAAGTCTAGATGAGTGCTGAGGTCCCTTCCGACTCTGCTACTCTATGTTTCTGGGTGGTTTGGATGCAAGGCTGAGTCCTTTGTCAGGGCAGGAGTCTATTTAAGACTGCAGAGTTTGAGCCTTTGGTCACACAGCAGGGAAAATGGTGTCCCAGGGTTGGGTTATTTACTTACATGATAGAAACCCAGTCAGAGCCTCTTTCAGACATTTGCCAAGGGCACATCCAAGCTCTATTATGTTATGTCACATGGCTTTTACAAAGTAGAGAGATCCAGTGCAATGGAAAGATATTAGATTTGGACTCAGAAGACCTGGGACAAATCCTAGTTTTCCCACTAACTCCCTGAATGACCCTGGACAAATCAACTCACCATTCTTGGCTTCTGTTTCTTTATTTGTGAAATGAAAGCATCCTGTTAAGAATCCTTCCAGTTCTAGATCTGTGTTCCTATATGGTCCTTTAGGACCCGAAATTCCAGGGAATGGGTCTTTGCAGTTTATACCAGTTGCCACTAGATGGTGATCTTGCTTCTAGCATCAGCTGCAAATCTAAGTCTGGTGAATGAGTTTATTATAAAATTCAGACTTGAAATATTTGTGAGCAAATTGACACTTTCTTGGCAAAGTATTATTTACACATGTAGCTAATTGGACTGGTTATATAGAAGAAGAGCTAGGTAGAGTTGTAGCTAGTAATTCTAACGCCTACATCAAATCTGATGCTTGGGGCAAGCACAAATGGTAGATACAAGTCAACCTTTTAAGGTAAAAGTCATGGTGGGGACAAGAGGAGAGAGGAGCAAAATCTCAAAGAGAGACCTTGGAGAGTTTGAGACATAAATCCCAAGTGTGTGTGTAAAGGGGAATTGGAAGAAAATTGCTCTTTAGAATGGTCTCTGAGAGATGGTTGCCGGGGAAGGAACAGGCCAGGACCAGTTTGGAAAGGAGATTCAGTACAACCACTGAGGGGAGAGGGGTATAGTGAAGAAGTTGCCATCTGGTAGTTAGTTTTAATTATCTTACAATTTTAGCTAATTATTCTCACTAATTAGGTGCTTGCTACCTGAGAGGCAGTGTAGAATAGTGGGCAGAAGGCTTCAAACTATGACTGAGACATCCTGTGCTATGTTCTTACGTATATTATTGATGATTTGGATTATGGTATGGAATTATGCTTATCGAATTTACAAATGATGCAAAACTGAAAGGAGGTAGTTCCCACATTGTAAAATGTTTCAAAGCACCAAAAATAAAATGAGTTGGATCCAGAAAAAAGGAATAGTGGGTAAAGAGATGGCCTTGGAGTCTAGAAGACTGGGATGGAACCCCACCTCTGCTGTAGGCTAGCTGTGTGACCCTGGGCAAATCTCTTAATCTCCTTAGCCCCGTGCAGCTAATTCTCTAAGACAAGATTTCATAGCCCTTTTTCTGTCATGGACAATCTGGTGAAGCCCATGGAAGCCTTTTCTTAGAATGTTTTAAAGTTTATTAAATAAAATACGTAGGGTTATAAAGGAAGCCAATTATATTGAAATACGGTCATCAAACCATTTAAAAAAAAAAAGCACGAGTTTGGAGACTCCAGGTTAAGAAGCCCTTCTGAGACTCTTAAATAATGGCATAGGTTCAGATCTGCATTCTTAGAGGAAATGTCCTCAGTGAGAGTTCTCTACATTAGTGGAATCACAGGTCTGGTCCAAAAAAAGAAACAAAACAGAAGAGAAAACCAGGTGCCTCACCCTAGTTCCAACTCCAGATAGAGGTATAGAAGGTAGCAGGCTTAATTCACACTTTTTCAGATTTTTAAAACAGATTTACTTTTATCAGTGTCTTTTGTTTTTACATCACCTAGATTTCCTCTTGTATCTCTACTCTCTTCCTTCCAGAAAGCCATCCATTATGATAAAGAATTTTTAAAAATAAAGCAGTAAAAAAGGAAGAATTAAAAAAATAAACAAAGTTGATCAATACGTTGAAAAAACCTGACATTACGTACAGTTTTCCACTCCCTCTGCCCCTTATCGCTGCTTCTTCCTCAGAGAAGAGAGGTGTTTTCTCATAATTCTTTCTTTCTTTTTTTTTTGACTAAGTTTTCAGACATCTTCACAATTATAACTTCACTTTGTTCTTCTTCCTTCAGAGTTGGAACCTGCTATGTTGGCTTTCACTCCAAGGCTTTGCTCCTTCCATGTTTCATTGAAACATTCTGATGAACAAAAGCTGCTTTGGCAATGCCCTCCTAGACACACATACATATGTGCGCGCACACATGCATGCACACATGCACACATATGTGTGTATGCACATATATAGCGGCCTGGCTAAGCCACTGCAGGAAAGCCTTTGCTTCTAACTTGCCCACTAGTCACCCTGACTTTAGTGAAGTTCTTACATAAAAGCATGGCCAAATGCTATTCAAGGACTGGCTCTGCTGCTTTTGGTAAACCACAAGGAACATCTGGATCAGAGCTTTTGAATGAGAAGGGACCTTAGAGGCCCTGTGGTCCAACCCCTTCCTTTTAAAGACAGAGAACTGAGATTTAGAGAGGTTAAGTGCCATAGTGTCAGAGACAATATTTGAACTCAAATCCTTTGGACTCCTGGTTTAGCACTCCATGTTTCAGCACTATACCACCCTGACTCTCAATCCTTTGGACTTTTCTGCCTGTGGAATCTCACCTGGACCAGGGCAACAACCTCCTGACAGGTCTTCTTATCTCATCTCTTCCCCATCTGCTCCATTCCCCGGCACTTTGACCAATTGTCTTACCTAGTGCACATGCACGCTTCCATCATTCACCCCCTCTGCTCTTAAACTCTTTACTATGGCAAGTCCTATCTGTTCAAACTCCACAATCTCATTCACATCTCTTTCCTTCATTACTTTCCCCATTGCATTAATTCTAGTCTTTGCAAACCTAAAAGTGTCGGATGCTGCAGAGATATTCAGAGAAATAAAAACTACATAAAAAAACAAAGTCACTGGATTTGCTGATTAGCAGCCATTGAGAAAAGAGTTTTAGTAGGATGGTGAGAATAGAAGCCTTGTTGAAAGCTTTAGTTATATCACCTTCAACTTCTCCCCACCTAGTCTTTTCCCTTAGCTCTGATAGGTAAGCTTTTGCCATATCTTGCTGAATTCCAGGCCCTGAAGTCATTTCCCAACCTCTTTCCCTTCCCCTTTTTATGTGCTGTCTGGTCTCCATTAGAATGTAAGCTCCTTGTAGGTAAGGACTGTTTAGCTTGTTTGTGTTTGTATTCTAAGAACCTAACACAGTGTCTGGCACATAATAAGTCTTAATGTTCAATCACTGATCTATGTATCTATTTATGCATGTGTCTATTTCTCTATCTACATATATACATATATATCTGTCTATCTATATATCCATCCATCCATCCATCAATCCATGTATCTGTTCATCCATCTATCCATGTATATATGTATGCATGCATGTATGTATCGGCCTGCCTGCCCCTCTATCTATTTATCTATCATGGTGGAGTATGGTGGAGCCCTAGACTTAGAATTAGGTGGAAACTGGATTCAAATCCTGCCTCTGACACTTAGTAGCTGCATAACCATGATCAAGTCACTTAATCTCTCTTCTTAGTTTCCTCATCTGTAAAATGGAGCTAATAATGGAAGTAGTCCCTCCCTCATAGGTTGTTGTGATCACATGTAAGAATGTGTACGAAGTGCTTTGAAAACCTTGAAACTTTATAAATGCCTGGTGTTATTTTTCAGCTTATTTAAATGCTTGTTATTCTTTCTTCTTTTCTCAGCCTTTAGAAGAAATCTACTCTGCAGGGGATTCACTGATGATCCGCTTTCACACAGACGACACCATCAACAAGAAAGGCTTTCATGCCCGGTATACAAGCACCAAATTTCAAGATGCTCTCCACATGAGGAAATAGTTTCAGTGCTCCTTAAACACATCACCGTCTTCGATACCAACACCCAACTGAGTTTTATTTTCCCCACGAGCAGTACCCTGTTAATCTGACCCAAAACACTGCACAGTATTTTCCTCCAACCAAAACTCAAAATCCAGCCTTTCTTTGAATGGAATGAACATGACACTCTCTTTTGCTGACATTTCAAGGACAAAATATGTTCCTTTGCTGAGAGATTTTCAATCATTGGCCCAAAAGAGTTGTTTGATTATTTTTCAGCAATGTCAAGGTTTCAGTTGAAAGGAGTAGCTGGACATCCAAGTGACACCAATGGACGCACTGCCTCCCCCCCTCCTTGGATGGAAGGATGATGGGTGGGTGGTTAGGTAGGAAGGAAAGTGTGTTAGCACTTGAGACTTTCCTTCCTTTTCAGAAAGAGTTGAGTCAGATGGGAGACAACCTGACCATGTTGGGCCTTTTCCCCTAGTCAGCTGAATCTAGATCGTGCAATAACTGACAAGCTTGATAATTGTTGATTTAGATACACTGTGCATTAATTTAATTCCCAACAGCACATCACTAACCTGCTTGTAGGGAGTCTAAAAGAGCTGCCTTTTTGCTTGTTGTTAGAGCACATTGGACCACAGGAATATAGGATCTTAGAGCTGGACGGGACCCTAGAGGTCTTCTACCCCTACGCTTTTATTTTACAGATAAGGAAACTGAGGCTCAGAGAGGTAAAGTGACTTGCTCAAGGTCACATGGCTAGTTAGGAGCTAAACTGGGTCTCCAACTCAGGTCTCCTAATTCCTGGTCTTTCCACTATACCATACTGCCTCCCAGAAACCTATGGGTGTGTCACAGGCTAGAATGCTGCTTGGATGCCAAAACCAGAAAGTCCTTTGCATTTCTGAGTGTAAGTGGGGAGATCATGGATCCAAGGGAACTGGGATGGAGCTGTTACAAATGGTCCTCTGGTTACATCAACTAGGGTGGGTGGGAGGGAATCATCAATCTCTCTTTGCTTCTTCTTGTTTGCCCTTCTTTGTATGGGCCAAAGAGTCAGCGTGGTGTCCTCTTTGTAGCATGGAGGAGCCATTGGACTGCCATGGTGAGAGCCTCTATCGTGCCAAAAAGAGATTATTTCCTAGCCTCAGAGGGGCTAACTTGTCTTCGAAGTAGCCAATGCTCATTTCATTGGCAAATGGCATGGAGGACAAATGTTCTTCAAGAGACCAACTCTTTTCACCTATATGGCCTAGAGCTCAGAAAGATCATAAGCTAAGAGAGGATCATCATATGGTCCAAATTAATTGTCTGCAAGTTCCACTGGCAGATCTAGTTAAGAAAAATGACTTCAATCAACCAAGTTCCTCAAGATCAGACTACCAACTGGTGATCAGAGTAAACAAGGCTTGGCATTTCTTTGGGAGAAATGCAAAAGCTGAATCTTGAACAATTGTATAGCATCATGATATAGTTTTAGGGGGAGGTTAGTTCTGAATGGCATTGTCTTAAGGCAAATGTGGGCATTATGAGCTAAAAGCTGTGGTGTGTTAGCTTTAATGAAATATTTATGGTTAAATAATTTATAATGATGTTTACATAACCTTAAGTACCATTAGGTAAGAAGTTGGCTACGGCACATATGTTTCAGACATAGATTGTTCTCAGTAATATTAAAGACAACTCCCATGCCTTTGGGGACTAAATGAAAGTCATTTAAACTATAGTTTGTGAAGAAAGTTAAAGTAATATTTTAAAAATTGGAAAATCCCACCATAAGAAATTATCCAAATAAAATCATGGTTGGGAGTTTAAAAAAAAAAAAGATTATACAAAGGTAAAGGGAAATGCATGAAAATATTTTCTTGCTTTAAACAGGAAAAAGCTAAGTAATAATAATATATATATATATGTGTATGTATGTATGTATGTGTGTGTGTAAAAGGTCAGTAGTCAAAGCCTTAATAAATGTAATATGAAAATATTATACTTGTTGACCACAGTTTTACTATAGGCCATACGAAATGCTCTAATAGTATGTTTGGTTGGTTACACCTTGTGTTTGCTTTAAATAAGTTCTATTTGGATTATACATCCAGGAATGTCATTCAATATTACATCATAATGTATAGAATTTCCCAAAAGTCTCTATACAGTAAACTCTTAATAGATTAAAATTGCATGAAGACTTTTGGGGTACCCCAATATAGGAGAATCTACCCACCCTGGACTTTTGGACTAGAAGACCAAGCCAACACGTCCAAATTAAATTTTCACCACACATTTCAGTGGTTTCTATCCCAGTGTTGTACTTCCAAGGGAGTTCCCCCATGCCATCCTCCTAACATTGGGCAAAATTGAAACCAAAGACAGGCCACAGAGAAATGATTCGGGTACTTTTCTGCCTAGGAACTAGAGACATTTTGGTTTCCAGCTAGTAAGTGGTAGAGCCAGAATTCAAACCCAGGGCTTCTGATTTCCAAATCATCCCTCTTTCCACAATAACACACTGTAGCAAAATTGCTCCTGTTGCACTTGAAACTCAGGATATTTCATACAAAGGTCATATTTGAAAAGAATGCTGAGCATAACTTCGCTCCACAGATACCAGGCTATTATCCTGTCACTGGGTTCCTGGCCTGGTGTTTGAAACAAGGAGACACCAGAGAACTGCCAGATTCTGTTGAGGTTTAGGGGTTCAGGGGTGCTGGGACCCCAAAATTACAACGTGCGAGTCCTGCCCGAAAGAATTCGACCCAAGCCTTCTTTCAGCCAAAGACAAGGTTTATTAAAACATCTGTTATATTGGTCAGACTCTTAAGGAGTCTGAATGTTAGTGAGCTATTGGCTAGATTGTAAGAATCTAAGCAGTGGCTAGATTTGAAGAAGCTAAGCATCTTAATGGAGACAAGATGGACCTTATATACAGAAAGACTGGGAGGGATCTAGGAGTGGCCAAGTAGTTTGGGGTAACTGGGGGAGGGGTCTAAGGAGATCTGGATGGGAGTGGCCAGTAAGCTGGGGCACACAGAATGCCAGGGACCTGGACCACATGTCCAGAGGAAAATGGAGCCTAGTTAGGATTAAGGGTGGGAAATGGCCAGGGACCATAGGGAGGTAAGGCAAAGGAGGGCCAGGCTAGGTTAAGGGTAACCGAGATTGGGTGTAGCCACAAGGAAAGGCCAGTTGATGGGATTATAGCCTGAGGCTAATGCCAGAGATGTGGCCAGTGCGAAAGTCCAGGGTTTTTCCTTTTTGGGGTCTAGATCCCATCCTCATCAATTCCAGCTCCACCTAAAGACAGAACAGAGGATTTGGGTCTTTGGAACCCAGCATGTTTTACTTTTAAGACAGTCCTTGTTCAGTGTAGTTTGTATCTGGGATCTCCTTGATCACCCTTGAGTAGAACCTTTCTTCTACCTACGGCTCCTCCCTTCCCATTCTGATATGCATTGGAAATTCTCATGTAGATTCCTAGAATCACAGAATTTAAGAGTTGGGGGACAGGACTTTAAGGACCTTTTGCTCCAATCCATACCCAGAAGGAATCCCCACATACCTGACAAGTGTTTATTCAGCCCCTGCTGGAAGATCTCTAATGAGGAGGAACCTATCACCTATCACTTCCAAGACAACCCATCCTACTTTGGCTACCTCTAAGTCTTAAAGCTCAGGCATATATCCCCTTCTCGTTTCTTAATTAGGGCATTGACTTCCAAGTTATCCTCTGAACCAGACAGGGACTGCCCTGAGATTAGCCCAGATTAATCTTCCCAGCCAGAGCTTTCATAAAATCAGATCTCTGGATCAGCCAAAAAGTAGGATCTGGATTTATGGTCTCAGCATTGCCTTGACTCCCCTCATGTCTTACCCACTCTTCATCAACTGGCCTTGCTGTTGTATCAGTGTCCCTCATACATTTTCCTTGTTTATTCTAGGCCAGTTCTTAAGGCCTGGAGTGCCTTTCAATCTTACTGGTTTTTGGAAGACCCAAAGTAGATATGGTGTTGTTATCTAATCTAACAGAAGCAAATAGCCTGTGTCCCAGTGCAGTGCTAGGCAAAGAAAACAGCTGACTGAGTGGAATTTCTACACTCAGAGGGAAAATGGGAATATGGCCATAATTCACCAATTATAAGACTTCTGTGTCCTGAATTTAAGTTTCTTATTGCTTCTGGAGTGACGCCTATTCATGGACGTGAGTGGTATTTTATTCGTTGTGAAAGTTTTCAGTGAGGCTTACTGAGAAGACTGCTTATATTTGAGAATACTAAAATAATCAAGTCTTTTGTTGTTCAGGCTGTAGGCAATTGTTGAGTCCACTTCAACAAATAATTTTTTTTAGGTCTCTCCCATCATAGGCTGAAATTCTATGATATACAAATACTGAAATTCTATAATTCTATGAAATTCTATAATAATCCCAAATGCCTAAAAGATTTCTTTTTCTTAAAAAAAATATTTAAAAGAGTCCATATAACCACAGGAAAATGTGGGGATTTTTGTTTTATATGAATGTTAAATGCAATGAGTCAATTTTGAAAACACAAAATAGGAAGGTGCAGAGAAATTAAAAATATCTGTCTGGGAAAAAATGAGTCATCAAAGAAAGTGGATTCATTGTGTGTCAGGAATTCAATTGAACAAGCTTTTATTAAGTGCAAGGCATTGTTCTAGGCTATGGGAAAACATGGACAAAAAGTTCCTGCCCTCAATGGGCTTACATTTTACTGGAGAAAAGATACATGAACAGAATCCTAACTCCAAAAAATACAAAGTAATTTTTTTTTGTGTGTGTGGGGAAAGCACAACTCAGAGGGGGTGGCATGGTGAGGAGAGGCTTTGGGTAGGAAGTGTCATCTGAACTGAAGCTTGAAGGAATCTAGAGATTAATTATGTGGGGTTGAGGTGAGAAGGAAGAACATTCCATTTCAAATGGGAGTTCGGAGGAAACAATCTGAGAAGAAAAGAAGGGAAAAAAGGATGACACATAAGTTCTCTCCAGGCTGCCATCTCTTTGGTCATGGCTCACTCCAAACCCTACAAAAACTGGGAGGGGAGAGGTACAGACTACTGGAGTGGGGGGAAATTTCTCTTTCATTTGGAGGAGTGTGTGTCATTTTTCTTGGGAATTAAATTGCTCCAGATTTGCATAGAAATAGAAGTTCAGGAAGACAAGAGGCAGCTTTCAAAAACTGTTATCCCTTTTGGACCTGGTCA